GGCTCCTGGCTGTGCTTGCAGGATTTGAGCTCTGGCTCTTGGGTCCCGCCTATCTGGTAGAACTTGCGGGATAGTACCAGTGGAGTGCAGTGGTGCTATTGGCACTTTTGGGGAACACTGTATTACCATCAGTGGTCTGTGCTTGTTACACGACCTACTTGCGAGCATAAGCCTTCTTGCTGGTTCGTCCGTGGACTTCCAGGGCGCACTGGCCTGTTTTCGTATGGCAGTTCCGGCCCGTCCTGGTTGTGGGGGTGTGTGGGCCGGTGGACTGCTCCTAGCAGCTGCCTGGTGGGCCATCCTCTGGCCGGTCTGGCCTGACCTTGGGCCGGGCTTGAGGTGTAAAAGAGCTCCCAGTTCCTCATCCAGCAGGTATCGAGCGGGGTTTTCTCCGCCGTCGGTCGCCTGGTGCAGGTTTCTGGGCCTGCAGGGTTTTGTCGTGTCTCCGTTGGCCCTGTCTGGGGTCTGCCTGCTCCGTTCTCTGCCTTTGCAGAGGGGAGTTGCTATTTACATGTTGCATGTTGCAGTGGTGCCTGTTGCTGCTGCTGCTGCACGTGAGCATTGGTACCGTGTTTCACGGTGGCGTGTCCTTGTTCCTGTGTCCGGTTGTGGAGTGGCGCTTTGCTGCCGTTTTGTGCCTGGGGATTCCGTGGGGTTTTTGTCCCTGCCTGATTGTCCACCCCTGGTTGTTCTCCTGGTTTTTTTTTTTTTTGTGCTTCTGCTCTTTCTTCCTGCCTCTTCTGCAGCAGGAATGTTCTGCGTGTGTTCTTAGGCGTTGGTCAGCCTGTGTCCTGTGATGTGCTTCTTTGTCTCGGTCTGTTGCAGTTGTTCGTGCCCCTTGGTTCGGGTCCTGTTCTGGCGGCGACCCTTCCGCCTTCTTTGGTTTTCCTAGCTTGCCCTGCCGGTTGTTGTTGTTTTCCTTTTTTTGGGGGGGGTTCTTGCGATGTCTCGCGTTGGACCCGTCGTTTCTGAACTCCTGGCGGGCTTGCATGCTTCGGAGTTTTTCTGTTCGGCAGACGTTCCATCTCCTTGTGCCGCCTGGGTTTCGGTGGTCGCGCCCGAGATCTTCTCGCGGCTCCGCCTTTTTCCTGGGCTCGGGGGGGGGGGGGCCTTGTCGGGGCTGCTTATGTTCTGCCTCGTGGTCTCGCCTCCGGTTGGTGGTCAGGTGGCTTCGTGGTAGGTGTCCCACCTGCGTGCTTTCTTGGCGGCAGTATGGGGTATTTTGGCGGTCCTTCCTTTTCCTGTCCCTTCTTCGGTGGGTCCTTCTTGTTGGCTTGGTTTACTCTCGGCTTGGTTTTCTAGTAGGGGTTGGGGGCCGTCGTCTTGCCACATACTGTCGCCTCTTTTCGTGCGGCGCAGGCGGAGCCGCTTCAGCTTGCTTTCGGTCTTGGTGTTGCTTCTGCACCGTTAGTCAGCTGTCTTGTGCGTCATTTCACCTCCGGCCTGTTCGTGCGCCGCTTGCACCATCCTGGTCTCTGGTCAGCGTGCTCTGTCTTCTCCTTGGTTGGTAGTGCCCCTTCGGTTCCGGTGTGTTTTTTCGTCGGCTCTTTCCTTTGGGCCTTTGCCTCTGGGGGTCGGTTTGCTGTGTTTTCTTGCTCCTTCGGTTTTAGCGTTTTGGTTGTTTGATGGCAGCAGTCTCCATCTTTTCTGGCGCGGGGTGGGGCTGCTGCATTCTGGAGGGGTCCAGGGTTTGTTGGTGCTTTGTTGGTCGGGCCGGGGGTGTGTCGTTTTTGTGTTCAGTGGCGGCTCTCTGCTGTTGTTTGCGTGCCACGGCGTTTGGGTCCGGAGCGCGTTTTGCGTTGATCCGGTTCTGTTCTTCCCGGTTCGCGGGTGATGGTGTCCCGGGTGGTCAGCCGTGTTCTTGCGGCTAAGCTGCCTGTGTTCTTCCCTCATGCCTGTGGCGTTCGTGGCTTCGCTGCTCTCGCTGCCGTCTGGGCGACGTGGCCTTGCAGTCTTTCGGGCATGGATTTTTGGTGTTCGTGCAGGGGCCTTGCTGCTCGTGGTTCTCGTGTTGTTCCCGGGATTTTCGGGGCTGTGGCGCCTTGGGTTGGCGTTTGCTGCCGGTTGTCTCGCCTCCTTGGGGGGTGCGTGGTGTCCGCCTCCCGGTTTTGTCCCTTTGACCTTCCTCTGTGGGTAGTTAGCTCCGGGGAGCCGACGGGGCTCCCCCCAGAAAACCAGCGTTGAATGTAATGAAACGCCATTTTCTGGGTGAGACCCGGAGGCTCCCCGGCAACCCTCCCTCCCTCCGGTCGGCGTTTTTCGCGTGTTTTGACATCCAGCCTCAGAACTGATGGGTGGATAGCCGGCGTGGGAGGTCTGGGGCTCCCCCTTCCCCCTCCCGGGGAGGGGGGAGCTGCGCAGACAGCGGCGCGGTGACGTATGACGTCATACTAGTTTCCGTGTTTTCTGTTGAAGAGTTCTATTCACTAGTTCGGCTTAGGTAGCAATTTTCACCAGAATAGGGGTTTGTTTTGGAATGCTTACCTTTCTGGATGCTTGACCCGGTCGATGGCAGACATAGAAAGCTTCCAACCACACGGGGGTTTCTATAGGCCATTGCTCCCCTTGCCTCTCTGAGGGGGCCAGGTTCTGGCTCGTGGTCCCCGGTAGGCCCTAGAACTCCATACACATGACTGATGCCAAAGTCTGACATTAGCATATCAGCCGGTAAAGCTCCGGGGAGCCTCCGGGTCTCACCCAGAAAATGGCGTTTCATTACATTCAACGCTGGTTTTTTATGTGATGTCTAAGATGGACACCTAATGGGCCAAGACCTTCCCTTGGCATTCATATGGCTGATTCAACCCTGATTTGTGGCCTTGTCAAGGCTCCACCTTTGCCAAAAGTGTGGCAGAATGTTCTATCTGTATTTTGTTGGTGACACTCTACCAATTGTGTATGGAGTTTGAGACCATTGTGCCACTGTCAGTGTGAGAGAGAGGCAGATGTATCCACTGAACCAATGAGGCTGTCTTCGAGGTGATAGTCTGCGGTTGCTTGGAGAGCTTTCCATCAGTTTCTGGCCCATCATCTAGTCGTCATCGTCTTGTCAAGGGGATGGTGTTGTCTTTCATGATAGGGTTGTTTGGCCCTGATTGATTGTTGTGAACTACCATCACCTTTTTGTTATTCAGCTCTGTGTGTACCCCATCTCTTGATGGCATTTTTGCCTAGCCAGGAAAATGTCACTACAAATTTGACATATTTTAAAGAAAATGTCTTGGGAGCAGAAAAAACAAAAAAGATTATAAATACAGTACAATTTTGTAATTCAATAAAATAGTTGCTTGCTTCAGCATGTCAGCTTTCCTTCCATCCTCACCCCAGACTCTTCTGTGTAATTCAAGCTACTGTACCAGTATTTGAAAGAATTAATTAATTTTTCTAAATACACCAAGTGAAATAGCCTGTCATAGACCAAAATAGAACAAGCTTATGTTTCAGAAGTGATATTTGTATACTAAGCATTATTTGTCTTGATGCAGTTTCTTCATGAAAATGCTAAATAATGAATATGTATAATAAAGCGGATCAGTGTACGTCAGGGTAACGTACATCTCTACAAGAGAAATATAGAGTTGTGTCATAATGTGGCAGGTGCAGGTGTCTCTTGGCACAGACTTGGTGTGTCAAATATAGCTAGTATGGGAGCCCCTGTTAATTCACAGATTCACAGTGAATTCAGCATTCATGCTTTGCAAGGGTTTCTGCCACAATAATTTTCCGGTAACTAATCAAAATTTAAATTTTTCCTGAGAGAGATGGTAAGAATGCTTATTATTTTGTCATAATTGATGTTACTTAAACAATTTTTTTATTTTTTTTATTTATGGTATTCAATTTTTCATTTAAGGTCAGAATTGTATGATAGTGTTACACATTACAATGTTTGTTTCAGATATACAGTACAGTACTGTACATATATATTAGCACAATAGGATAACCATAAATATTTTTCATTTATTATGCACCCCGTACCCATTCTGTGGGAGGTAGTGGAAAGGGTTACAGAGGCAAACCTAACAGCCAAGGGAACTTCTAGGGAGGATAGTGAGAACAATCAAAACTAAAACTGCTATACCAATTATAGACTTGAAAACTCTGGTGGTATCACATATGAAATGCAGATATCCTTTATTACCTATGTATAATTAGTTAAGTAGTTAAAACTAATGAGATTACTGTACTTCAAAGTGCTGTACAGTACTACTCAAATTACACTTCCTAGCATGGAGTTGAGAGATCTAGTCAAATGCCTGAAACACTGCGTATTAGTGGCTTTAGGCATAGTATATTCTAGCTCTTTCTAGTAATCTAACATTCTGTTTGTAACTCATTTTGTTTATCTACTTTTACCTGAATAAACATTATTATTACTATTGGGTTGAGAGAGATGATGGGAACTGAAATATAAATGCAATGAAAAAGTAAAACCGAATGTGAATAACAGAGTGTCATGACTATTCAACCTTCTACCAACATTTATGGTATGCAAAATATTGCTTGAATAACAACGGAAGCTTTTAAGAGGGAACTTGGCATGTTCTTGTTGAAGTTACTAGATCAGTCTGATTCTGATGACTATGTGGGCTTGTAAGCAATAAAGACAAATTCATTACATGAACCTGTAATCATTATAACATCTGTATTCATTATACCACTTCATATCCCGAAGTGACTGCCCAAAACGCTGTGCATATTGGTGGCTTTAGGCATTGTATGTACTAGCTCTTTCTAGAAATCCAACATTATGGTTTGTAACTCATCTTGTATGTATGCACTTTTATCTGAATAAATATTTGATTTGATATCATTGGATTTAATATCTTGAGGTATGCCACATCTCATGCCACATGCTGGATCAGGTACCAGCAAAAATAATAAGTATGGAATTGTTGGATTGTTTTAAGCGTTGGTTAGACATACGTAAGAGTTTGAATATGAATAGGAGCCGCCGCGTATGGGCAGTTTCATTTATTCTTATGTTCTTAATATTTCAGAATGCAGACAAAATGGGGATAGGAGGCAGAAGAGCCATTTCTCCTCCATTGGACATGCCAGTCTTCCAAAGACACGCTCCAGTGTAGCAGCCATTATGAAACACACTTTGGGATCACATTAAAATGATGTTATTCAACAAGTTGAATGTACTCTACCGACTGTTCATAATGGCCCGTGACTGGTGTTTGGGTTGGAAAGAATTGTGACTGTTATACTTTGTCATTTGTTAAGATGTACATTATAAACAGTTATGTTTTCTTTGTGATTAAGGACCATTGTTACATAAATAACTAGCTCAAAGTGCAGTTGTCAAGTTAATGCTCAAAATGTTGTGCAGTTATTTTGAAATTGTTGTGTGATGTACTTACCATTAAAAATTTGTTACTTATTACTGTATTGACTAATCTTTAAGTTCAAAAGTGAACACTCAGCAGGTCTGAATACAGTGAATAATCAAAAAGTTTTAATAAATGGTGAACAATCAGTAGGTGTGAATAAATAGTGAACACTGTAGGTGTGAATAAATAGTGAACAATCAGCAGGTCTGAATAGTGAACAATCAACAAGTCTGAATAGTGAACAATCAACAAGTCTGAATAGTGAACAATCAGCAGGTGTGGATAAATAGTGAACAATCTGTGAATCAATAGTGAACAATCAGAAGGTGTGAATATATAGTGAACAATCAGCAGGTGTAAATAAATAGTGAACAATCAGCAGGCGTGAATCAAAATTGAACAATCAGCAGGTCTGAATATATGAGATTACTCTTATTTACATAGTGATAAAGGAAGTGGCATTTACAAATTTGAATTCATAAGTGTTTAGCCATCTACTATAAGATATTAGCAAGATGGTTGAATTGACCAATGTCTGCTTTCTTGTGGTAACTGGAATTGCTTTGGTAACTCGAGTTATTATTCCAACTGTAAAAGGACCTATGTCCCGGCTGCAGCCTGAACTAGCAGCCTGGTTGCAAGAACAAGCCCTTGAAAAACATGCAGGGCTCTTTGTTGATTCAGGTACTGTACTGTGTTTTAATAGCTATTTGTTTCATGTAGTTTTCTGTCAGCTATTACATAATTTTTCTTGGGGGGAGCCCCGTCGGCTCCCCGGAGCTGTACCAGGCTGATATGCTAATGTCAGACTGGCATCAGTCATGTGTATGGAGTTCTAGGGCCTACCGGGGACCACGGCCAGAACCTGGCCCCCCTCAGAGAGGCATTGGCCTATAGAAACCCCCATGTGGTTGGAAGCATTCTATGACTGCCATCGACCGGGTCAAGCATCCAGAAAGGTAAGCATTCCAAAACAAACCCCTATTCTGGTTAAAATTGCTACCAAAAGCCAAACTAGCGGATAGAACCCCCCAACAGAAAACAAGCAAACTAGTATGACGTCACACGTCACTGCGCTGCTGTCTGCGCAGCTCCCCCCTCCCTGGGAGGGGGAAGGGGGAGCCCCAGACCTCTCACGCCGGCTATCCACTGATCAGTTCTTTGGCTGATGCATGGGCACTGGTCGTGTGCTCCGGCTCCATTAGTTGTTTCAGCACTGTACCTAGAGTGTGGTGTCTGTCTACTAGGTGGTGCGTGAGCCAGGAGTGAGTCTCCAGTACTCGGGCTGCATGCGCCTAGGGTTGGTTACCTTCCCTAGGTGCCCTGTAAGTACTGCCCTTGGGGCTTGGGGCCACCTTCCACAAGTTCCTTGGGTTTTTCCCCTGCTAGGCCGTTTACTGCTTGGTTTTCAGCCGCCCTTTGTGTGCTCGGGTGTTCTGTCTCCCTTGTTCACCTTAGGGTAAGGGGCAGTTTTGCACTGGCGAGGCGCAGGGTGCTGCGCAGCTTGTTTTCACCTATATGGCAGCCGAGTCTGTTCCGCCTGGGTACGCTGTCCTCTTGCAAGGTTTCTTTTTATTTTTGTTTATCTGTCTGGTGGGAGGGGGTCTGCCTTCGTTCTTGCCCCCTGTGTCCCTTGTGTTCTGAGTATTATTCTGGTGGTTCCCCTGCTAGGTCCCCGTGAGTGTACACGTCCCGGGGGTTCAGTTCTTAGAAGGTTGTTTGGTAATTTTGGGCGCCGGTTAGCAGTACCCTGCCTAGGATTACCTGAGCGCGAGTCCTATTATAGTAAACGCTCGGGACCCTGGGAAACCCCTGGGGGCGCGCGGGTCCAATGGATCTGATCCCGGAGTCCCCCCTCGCTTCCAGCGGGTTTGAGGGTTGCTCTCACCCCTTGCCTCAGGGTGACTCGCTGTTTTCCCTCCGTCTGCTGCCTGTAGGGTCGGTGACACCTTCGACCCAGAGTCCTGCGAGTTTTGTTGTTCGTTGTGGCCTGATTACCCAGTTGTATGCTGACTATGCATGCAGCAGGGGCGTTGCACGTTGAGCTTTGGTGGTGGCAACGCTCTAGTTTGTTTGCTCCCCGGGAGCTCCGGGGCTGCCTCGTTTGGGTTGGTGTTGGGACTTGGGGGTGTTGGTTGCTTCGGTTCCTTCCACGCCCCCTTGTCTTTCCCCTGGATCCCCCCTTCCTACTTCCATCTGGTTCTTACCGTCTGTGGGTTTGGGGCGGGGTTCGATGGTTTTGAGACTCGGGCGGTCTCGGGGACTTCCCCTTCCTGGGTAGTGACAGGGGCATTCGAGCCTGTCCCTCCAGCCGTGTTGTAAGAGTCTACCAGTGGGCTCCCTTCCTTAGTATTTTCGCGGCTGCCCCGGTTTTCTGGTGCGGCAGGGGCTTTGGGGGGACGGCTCGGCCCCGGGCCCTGTCGTGTGGGTTCCTGGGGCTGACTTGGGGGGCCTAAGGCCCCGTGGGACCCTGCGGTTTTTTTTTCTACCCTCTAGGCGGGGCTTGCGGTTACGCAGAGTGGGGTTTTTCCTCCCCCCTCGCCGTACGAGTTGTTGGGCGTCAGCCCCAAGAGCCAGTCGGCCGAGCGGACAGCACGTTGGACTTGTGATCCTGTGGTCCCGGGTTCGATCCCGGACGCCGGCGAGAAACAATGGGCAGAGTTTCTTTCACCCTATGCCCCTGTTACCTAGCAGCAAAATAGGTACCTGGGTGTTAGTCAGCTGTCACAGGCTGCTTCCTGGGGGCGGAGGCCTGGTCGAGGACTGGGCCGTGGGGACACTAAAAAGCCCCGAAATCATCTCAAGATAACCATCTCATCTCAAGATAATCCCTCCCCGAGCTCGGTTCCTTGTCTTTTGAGTCAGTTGGTTCTGTCCTGTAGGTGGGTGCTCTTCTCCGTGGCTCCCCTCTTTTTTTCTTGGGACGGGATATCTCCATCGTGTTTCCCAAGTTCTTGGGGTTCTACGTGACTTTTGGTCTCGGGTGCGACTGTGCCTTTGTACCGCAGGAGTTTCCTTCGCTCATTCCTTGGGCGTTCCTTCAGCCTGTGTCATATGGTGCGCTTATTGTCTTGGTCTGTTTTCATTGCTCGTTCCCCTTGGTTCGGTTACTGATCTGGTGGCGACCCTTACACCTTCTTCGGTTTTCCTGGCTTGCCCTGCCTGTTGGTTTTTCGGGGTTTTGCGATGTTTCGCATCGGACCCGTCGTTTCTGATCTCCTGGCGGGCTTGCTTGCATTTGGGAGTTTTCTGTTCGGCAGACGTTCCATCTCCTCCTTTTCCGGCTTGGGCTTCTTTGGTGGTCGCGCCCGAGATCTTCCCACGGCTTCGCCTCTTCCTGGGTTCGAATGAGCCATGTCGTGGCTGATTACGTTCTGCCTCGCATGTCTCGCCTCTGGTTGGTGGTCTGGTGGCTTCGTTGTTGGTGTCCCACCTGCGTGCTTCTTCTTGGCGGCAGTATGGGGGTATTTTGGCAGTCCTTCCTTTTTCTCCGGTCCCTTCTTAGGTGGTTGTTAGCGTTGGCTTGGTTTTTCTGGTGGGGGTTGGGGCCGTCGTCTTGCCGCATACTGTCGCCTCGTTTCGTGCAGCGCTGGCGGAGCCGCTTCGGCTTGCTTTCGGTCTTGGTGTTGCTTCTGCACCGTTAGTAAGCTGTCTTGTGTATTGTCTCACCTCCGGCCTGTTCGTGCGCCGCTTGCATCGTCCTGGTCTCTGGTCAGCGTGCTCTGTCTTCTCCTCGGTTGGTGGTGCCCCTTCGGTTCTGGTTTGTTTCTCTGCGGCTCTCTTTCCTGTTGGCATTTGCCTCTGGGAATCGGGTCGCTGGGTTTTTTGCTCTCCTCCGCAGGGGTTTCTGCTCCTCTGGTCTTGGCGTTTTGGTTGTTCGGTGGCAGCAGGCTCCATCTTTTCTGGCACGGAATGGGGCTGCTGCGTTCCGGAGCAGCAGCCCTTGGTTTGTTGGTGCTTGGTTAGTCGGGCCGGAGGTGTCATATTTTGTGTTCAGTGGCGGCCCTCCGCAGTTATTTACGTGTCGTGGCCTCTATGTCCGGGGGCACGCTTTGAGTTGATCTGGTTCCATTCTTCCCTGTTCGCGGGTGACGGTGTCCCGGGTTGTCCGCCGTGTTATTACGGCTAGCCTGCCTGTGTTCTTTCCCCATGCCCGTGACATTCGTGGCTTCACTGCTCTTTCTGTCGTCTGGGCGGCGTGTCCTTGCTGTCATTCGGGCACGGATCTTTTGGTGTTCGTACAGGGGCCTTGCTGCTCATTGGCTCGTGTTGTCCCCGGGCCTTTTTGGGGCTGTGTCGCCTTGGGTTGGTGTTTGCAGCCGGTTGTCTCGCTTTTGTTGAGGGGTGCCTGGTGACCGCCTCCCAGTTCCGGCTCTGGGGAGCCGACGGGGCTTCCCCCAAAAAACCAGCGTTGAATGTAATGAAACGCCATTTTCTGGGTGAGACCCGGAGGCTCCCCGGCAACCCTCCATCCCTCCGGTCGGCAGTTTTTCGCGTGTTTTGACATCTAGCCTCAGAACTGATGGGTAGATAGCCAGCGTGGGAGGTCTGGGGCTCCCCCTTCCCCCTTCCGGGGAGGGGGGAGCTGCGCAGACAGCGGCACGGTGACGTGTGATGTCATACTAGTTTGCTTGTTTTCTGTTGGGGAGTTCTATCCACTAGTTCGGCTTTTGGTAGCAATTTTAACCAGAATAGGGGTTTGTTTTGGAATACTTATCTTTCTGGATGCTTGACCTGGTCGATGGCAGACATAGAATGCTTCCAACCACACGGGAGTTTCTATAGGCCATTGCTTCCCTTGCCTCTCTGAGGGGGCCAGGTTCTAGCCGTGGTCCCCGGTAGGCCCTAGAACTCCATACACATGACTGATGCCAAAGTCTGACATTAGCATATCAGCCTGGTATAGCTCCGGGGAGCCTTGGGGTCTCACCCAAAAAATGGCGTTTCATTACATTCAACGCTGTTTTTTTTTTATTAAGTTTTTATGTTTTTAAATGTTTGCTGTGTAATGTTACTAAATAATATATTAATCTTTTCAGTCTTTGATTGGATAATATGCAGTATGTCAGTGACTAGCTTAAATATAAAACATTACAGTAGATTGAATTTTGCAGTTTAAAATTAGCCATTCAGTTCAAGGAATGTGAGAGTCATTAGCATTGCTTGTATTTTATCATCATTTAGGAATATGGAGACTTGTGGATGTTGTTGAGATGGGTCCTTTGCGTGGCCTCCCTTTAGTGGAGCAAGAACGGACAACTGCAGCCGTGTTTGACTTGAAGCAGCGTCTTATCCTGAATCACTTCCTAAAGAAACATGGAACTGAGAATGGCTTACCAAGGTAAAGTAGATATGCTAACACACAAACTAATTAATACCAACACACGATAAGAAACACAACTTGATAAAGGGTCCTAGACAAACCAAAATGTTCCCACTTTTTTTTCATGTGTGTGTGTGGATTGGGTATCAGTTTTCAGCCATGTTGTTTTAATTTATTCCCTGCTTATGAAATAAAATTGCCATTGTAATTTAATGTGCAACGGTAAGTACTGTATCGGTGACCTGCAGTTTAGTCCCAATACTACTCAGGGATGTAGTGACTGGAGATCTTGTGTAGTTCTGTATTAGATAAATAATAAATTAAATGTTTATTCAGGTAAAAATATATACAGTGGCAACTTGACTTACGATGTAAATTTGATTGAAAAATGTGACTCGACTTAGGATAGTGTCGTCGACTAATGATATTTGTTGGTACACGTTTGGGTCGACAGAGTGCGTGGTTCCCGATCACGCGGGCCAACCTGCCTCGGTTTACTAGAGCTGCCCGCATAGTGACGATCACGCTTATAAAAAATTCTGTTTTTGTTGTGATTTTTTGCTTTTTGAACATAAAACTGATTATTACATATCACGCAATGGGTCGCAGAAAGTCAGTGGTAAGGTTCAACCTAAGAAAATAGTTGTGAGTTGAGGCAGTAGAGGATATCCCTTCCTCATTAAGAAAATGTGTGAAGTATGGGAAGAACTGCAAAGTTTTGTTGAAAAAACTCTCCCAGATAAAGCTGTAGCAGGCCATTGCATTGACCTTTTAAATGACAATGCGATGTCTTACTACAGACAAGTGTTAAAATGTAGGGAAAAACAAGTGTCTTTAGACAGATTCTTAGTAAGACAAACAAGCAGTGAGTCACAAGCAGGTCCTAGTGATATGCAGGCAAAACATGCCAGAGAGTGTATCCCAGAAAAGTCATCACTGCCTTATGTTATAATAGAAGGGGACTTCCCTTCCAAACAGTAACACCTCTCCTCCTCCTCACCCTCATTACCATCTTCCATATGTCATCAAGAGTCCTCCATAAAGGTAAGATAAACATATGTACTGTATTGAAGTTAGAGAACAAAATTGTATTCAGTATAAAATGTATTTGCAAGTTAATATTTTGGAGGGTGGGGAACGAATTAATTAAATTCCCTTTATTTCTTATGGGAAAAATCGCTTCGACTTACGACATTTCGACTTACGATCCGTCTCTGGGAACGGATTACCATCGTAAGTCGAGGCCCCACTGTACGTACAAAATGGGTGACAAACAAAATGTTGGATTTCTAAATAAAGCTAGTACATACTATGCCTAAAGCCACTAATACGCACAGCGTTTCAGGCAACATGTGGGAAAAACACTTAAACTAAAATTTAATTGTGATCAAAATTGACCTTTGATTGATTTACTTTAATTGATTAGTATTGACCTTTATGGTTAAAAAAAAAGTTGTATTCCTTGACCAATAATTATATAATTAAATACTGAGTAGATGTACAGCATTTTACTCACTGTACAGCCTGCACTTAAAAACATTTCTGGATATAATACTGTATGGGAGCCGGTCGGCTGAGCGGACAGCACACTGGACTTGTGATCCTGTGGTCCCGGGTTCGATCCCGGGCGCCGGCGAGAAACAATGGGCAGGGTTTCTTTCACCCTATGCCCCTGTTACCTAGCAGTAAAATAGGTACCTGGGTATTAGTCAGCTGTCACGGGCTGCTTCCTGGGGGTGGAGGCCTGGTCGAGGACCGGGCCGCGGGGACACTAAAGCCCCAAAATCATCTCAAGATAACCTCAAAAATGTCCTTGCAACTTGCATCTGTATTATTAACTGTCATAGATAAGTTTACCAAGACACATCATTTAATCATTGAGCACAACTTGACAATTATTTTTTAGTTGTTCATTTAAGTTTGATATGAAATTGTGTTTAGCATAGTATTGAATTTTTACAGTGTAGTTTAAATTTCTGGCTCTATTTTTGAGGTATTCTACTTGGATGCTTCCTGAGCCAATATCACTGACTGTTGCAATGAATAGGTTCCTATCAGTCAGGGTAGGGTGACATTCTACACCAGTGTAGAAGAGATCTTTTCAGACATCCCTAATGTATCACACTGGTGATGGAAAGGCACTTCAGGAAAACTTAATTCAGCCTAGAGTAACTACATGAAGATCACTCATAAGCACTTAAACTTTCCAAGTTCTACTTGGTATTATAGGTACCCGCCTAGTTGTGCTCTGACCAAACCGCTAGTCTTACCTGTCCCCTTCCTCTGACTCTCACCAGATGGCAACACCCTCACCAAAACCAGACAACCATCCTCCAGCATGCTTGATGCCAGATTCATTTAAATGCCTTCCTCGGATACAGTGAGACCTCAACTTACGACTGCCCCTTAAGTTTTTGAGTTACAATCCCAATTTTGTCGAAAAATGCGACTCGACTTACAACCTTTGCCTCGACTAGCGACTTTGTTGATACTCATATGGGTCGACCGAGCGCGTGGTTCATGGTGGCACAGGTAATCCCACCTCAATTTACCAGGGCTGCCCGCTTAGTGACGATCGCGCTTGTAAAGAATTTCATTGTTTTTGTGCGTTTTTGTTTTTTAACATAAAAGTACAGTACAGTAATTATATATTATGCCATGGGTCCCAAGAAAGTCAGTGGTTAGGTTCAACCTAAGAAAATGGTTGTGAGTAGAGGCAGTAGAGGATGTCCCCTTTCTCATTAAGAAAATGTGTGAAGTATGGGAAGAACTGCAAAGTTTTGTTGAAAAAACTCGCCCAGATAAAGCTGTAGCAAGCCGTTGCATTGGCCTTTTAAATAGCAATGTGATTTCACACTACAGATAAGTGTTCTTAGTAAGACAAGCAAGTTGATTGATTGGTAGTTGATACCAATCAACTACCCTGCAGTGAACCACAGTCAGGTCCTAGTAGGAAGCCTGCAAAACATAGGAGAGAGAGAGTACCTCAGAAAGTCATCACTGCTGGATGTTATGAATGGAAGGGGACTCCCCTTCCAAACAGTAGCACCTCTTCTCCCCCCCCCCTCCTCACCATCTTTCGTACGCAAACAAGAGTCCTCAATAAAGGCAAGATATACATACTGTATTGTAGCTAGTACAAAAAGAGTACAAAATTCGGTATAAAATGTATTTTTAAATTAATATTTTTGGGGGTATGGAACGGTTTAATTCAATTTACATTAGTTCTTATGGGAAAATTCATTTCGAGTTACGAATTTTCGAGTTACGACCCGTATCTGGGAATAGATTAAATTCGTAAGTGAAGGTATTACTGTACTTAGATTATCTGTGCTGTGTACTTGCTATGGCATTACTACATAGAGTATATTTGGAATACTTCTGCTGTATGTAGGTATGGTAAGTGTTTTTTGTGTCATGAATTAATCTGGTGGAGACCCAAGGTTTCCTTGTCTATTGTGATTAAGCATGCTCCTCAACTGTGGCCTATTTTCCTGGAGGGCCCACTACATTTGCTGTTCAATGTTCTTTGCTCCAGGCCTGGGCATTTGTGTTGGGCACTACTTGTTATGGGCACACAGCAGTTGCAGGTGACCTCTTTCTTTACTTCATAGTTCACAGCAGACTGCTGTGAGTTGGCTTAGACCTCGTTCAAAATGCTGATTTTGAAGGCTGCTAAGCTTTAGGCTCATGCACTTAAATATTTTTGTAGGTGGATACAGTTCTTTATTTCTAAAGGAGGCTTTATCCCCATTTGGTTCAGATGACCTGCTAGTTGAGTTCTCAGAATTAAAGAGCTCTTTGAATCGTGCTTTGAGCACTGACGTGTGTATGTGTGTAATTACCTAAGTGTAATTACAGGATGAGAGCTACGCTCGTGGTGTCCCGTCTTCCCAGCACTCTGTCATATAACGCTTTGAAACTACTGACGGTCTTGGCCTCCACCACCTTCTCACCTAACTTGTTCCAACCGTCTACCACTCTGTTTACGAAAGTGAATTTTCTTATATTTCTTTGGCATCTGTGTTTAGCTAGTTTAAATCTATGACCTCTTATTCTTAAAGTTCCAGGTCTCGGGAAATCTTCCCTATCGATTTTATCAATTCCTGTTACTATTTTGTATGTAGTGATCATATCACCTCTTTTTCTTCTGTCTTCTAGTTTTGGCATATTTAATGCCTCTAATCTCTCCTCGTAGCTCTTGCCCTTCAGTTCTGGGAGCCACTTAGTAGCATGTCTTTGCACCTTTTCCAGTTTGTTGATGTGCTTCTTAACCCCTTAACTGCGTTGCCTCCAAATGTGACACCCCCGCAGTGCGCAGGAAATAAATTCTCTGGAAAAAATTCTTTTTTCTTTTTAAAGTGTCAAAAACCCTTCCCTCAGTATGGGTATGTAAAAAAAAAGTCGAGATTGTACTTACTTTGGCTGCTATGGGGTCCGGAAGTTGGGGCGTGACGTCATCATTCCCCGTGCGCCCGTGCCGTCAGCTCTCGGGGGCGGTGGGACGCTCGGGGCGGGGCGCACGAGTTGGCGCGAATATATTTTCGTTCATTTTTTCCGCACCTTTCCAAATACATTTTCATTGTTTTTATGTGCCATATCCAATGTATAATGAACACGTACACTATAATATCGCAGTACAACATCCGTACTGTCCGTAGACACTGTGTTACGTGCATGAAACTTGTGTACACATATGCAGCACATATTTACTATGTACCTTGCTAAGTTGTGTATATATACAATCTATTTACACACTATACACTGTCACACACTATATACATTCACCATCAACACATTCAGAACACCGCGTAGCAGCTGCTTCGTATGAGCCAATAGCAGCTGCCTCGTATGGGCCAATATCAGCTGCCTCGTATGGGCCAATAGCAGCTTCCCCGTATGGGCCAAGAGCAGCTGCCTCGTATGGGCCAATATCAGCTGCCTCGTATGGGCCAATATCAGCTGCCTCGTATGGGCCAATAGCAGCTGCCCCGTATGGGCCAATAGCAGCTGCCCCG